CTGTGCCTGATAATGTTGTACTGCAACGAAACCAGAGTCAATTAAACTAGTGAAATGACTGTTTCGTTTTTTTGACTTGCATCAAGCTGCTACGCCGCCTTCTGGAACATAACTACACTCTTTTAGCAGGCAGCAATTTGGGATAGGAACTCACTGTTTTGAGCCATAAATATTTTTATTGAAAGGAAACAGATTCGTTATTTTGCGTGTATATTTCCGAATTTTGTGACCAGCTTGAGTCTTCTGACCGATTCCTGCTTCTTTATAGGCATGCTTCAACTGAATGGGAGAAAGTTTTCATGTGTTTCCGTCTCTTAACAGGACTGTGCAATGGGTCAGTGCGGCGAAATGTCTGTGACTACAGTGCTAATTTTTCTGAGTCTCAATTTTTCTCTATTCACTTCAACTCCATCATATCATGCATCCCAGAATCCGGAAAAATTAAACATCTGAAACAATCTTGGTCCCAAGCATTTCGGAAGAGAGAAACTGAACCTGCATATATCAAAAACAAGAAAAGCGATTAAACAAAGTATATTGTAATTAACTTAAACAACTACTCACTGTAACGAAAAGTTGTTAATCCAAACACTTTTCAGGGGATATGTAGAAGATCGATGCTGCCCCTAAAGGGGCATTTTAGCCCAGGGAAACGGTAAAAATCGCATGTTGTCACAGTGTCAAACAGGTCTGCTTCGAACTTCGGAGGTGCCGGGTTCAATATCGATCGAGGGCAAACTTTGTTTTGTTCCCTTGAGCAAGGAATTTACGACTATTGCTTCAGACCGGGCAAACTCAGTTGGCAGGACGTCGAACTCAGAACCAATAGGTCCCAATTTCAAGTCCCGTTCAGAGTCACTCGCCCTTCTTCCTTCCGGGGTTGGTAAATGAGTATCACCCTGTGGGAAGGCAACAGGAAACTATACGCTGTGCTTGCCACATGCCTGCAGACTCTGTCATGATAAAAAAAGGTACTTTTGGCTGACGGCACAGAAACGGACGTCAGTACCGCACGATGAAAATGACGCCAAAATGGCCTAATCGTAAAAGTGAAGGAAGACTCATATTCCAACAGTGACTAGCTTTCCTTACCTTCGGGTGAAAGTGCAATAGGCAAGAAAAAAGCTAAGCGTGCCCTCCAATAGTAGGCATCTACTGCCGAAGAGTGTAACTGCTTAAATCAGCAATTTTTAGTCGTGATACAACAGGATTAATTTAAAAACATTAATTTTAGATAAATTCTGTTTGAAATCGTTCAGAACTAAATAAACATGAACGAATGTATTCTGATGGTTGAATGAGGTGTAAGATTTCCATCTGTCTTACAATATCGCAGTATCAGTGCAAAGTGAGATACGTATCTTCTTCCTTCCCACTGTACGTTTTCGCCGCCAAAATCCGGTTCATAAATTTAATTATTATGTATCGAAGGCGGTATCGAAAGCTCCACTCATGGAGTCGACTGCAGAACATCAGGAATATGTTTTCGATTAGAATGTATCTTACGGCTGAACAAATGAAACATGAGCATAACTTTCATCAGAAAGGAAGGCACAAATACATCCTGAAACGCCCTTAGACTAAGGAGACGTTCACAAACGCCAACCGGTTGCTCGACGCACGAAATGTATTTGTACAGATGTTCTTCGACTTACGCCGAGGTTACATTCCGACGAATACATCGTAAGTTGAATATGAATATTATGTGATAAATAAATAAGTAAATAAATACCGGCTGTCATTTAATAAGTAAACAAGCGAATAATTACTGTAACTATCTAAATGCAAAAAAATAAAAAATTAACAGTAATTGATGGAAGCTAATGCTGGGGAGGAGCCTATAGGGACAGGGTCATCGATTTCTTTTTTTCTGATGGTTAATCACGAGCATAGCTCGTAAAAGGCACTGGATCGTCGGCACTTGTTCAAGAACGGAAGCTTTGCTTTTTCAGCAAGACATCAAGGTTTGACTGGGCAGTTTGTTTCTTCTTTTTTTTAATACGAAATTCTTTGTAGCAAACAAGAGCATCCAGTACTTGTCTTCCAAATTTTGCAAATCTCTCATAATTATGATAATGTCGTCACCGTATGATACGCTGCAAAACGTTGCAGGAGATGCTTACGTTCGCCATCGCTACGGAGACCGAGAACACATCACCATCGCAAAGCGAAAAGCATCTGTGAAATGAGCACAAAGGCAAATGTCAAATGTCATCAAACTAAATATGAATTATGCAGGGAGTTTTGCAAGATGCTAGTTTATTCGATCTTAGAATGAAAACAAATTATTCAAATTCAACCAGGCTTTGTCTTACTCATGGAAAATCATGTTTTGTGTATCGGCGGTGACAGTCTATGAGAACAATCGTGAAACAGTCGTGGCACAGGAAGCGTGATTCGGCATAGCGCATAGCTTGTGGTAGAAAAAATTATGGCGCATGATAGGTCACCAAAGCGGCGGCCAAGCGACAGCGGTGAACAGTGGAAAACGATCGATTTCATTCGTTCCGTATACAAAGCAGTTTACACATTCGTAACGCAGTTTCTTGTACGCTCGACTTGTTACAGCGTTGAGAATGATGGCAGCCGATGGAAAAACTGGTCAAATAACAGGGAACCGTATAGCGACAACGGCTGGCAAAACAAAATGCAGCAGACGAATATGAGAACAAGAAGAACGTTGGGATCATGTCTGCAATCTCCATGACAAAACGGCCAAATGAAATCATTCATTTACCTTCATTCCGTCAGATTTGAAGAGACAGCTTCAGCAAGCATTTGCGATGGTCCGGTTCTCTGTCAGGAAGGCATTCTCTACGGAAAGCGGATTCTAAGCCGAGACGTTCAAATTTAAAAAAAAGTCACTGTCTTGCTTGAAACGGGTCAACTAGCGAGGAACTTCGAAAACAACGTGAGTCGTACAAGTCAATACAAAAGAAACAACAGGTCTGAATGCCATGTGGATGAACAGTCACAGAAAGTGCTCTTTCAACAAGCCAAAGGGCTGAATAGGTAAAGAACGAGTGCGGTTCTTTTTTGCAGAAAGTACTGCAGGAGAATATTACGCGGCAAGGATTAGCTGGCATGCCTTCCCCCTTCTTCCTGCGTCTGACGTATTTTCACAGTCCCATTAATTAAATTTAGAACGAAAAAACTACAAGAAATGCAAGTGAAAAACGTTTTTAAGGTACTCAGATATGCCCTGTGGAGTGGGTTCAAAGGCAGGACAACAGAATATTGACTGCTCGAAGAAAGGACGAATGCTCAGTCAAGAAAAAAAACCAATATAAAGGAAACAACTATAAAACTAATATGGACATGAAAGTATAAATAGCTTGGGAAAGAAATTATCACTAGCCAAATATCACGCAAAGGAGACCCCTTGACCTTAATATATGTACCATAATAACAACTATAAATAAAAAATAAAACCAACAACAAATCGCTCAAGTTAGGTTAATGATTATGGCGGAACGGCTTTGGGGAAAGAAAAAATTTCGGTTACGTTAAAGTCACGTGTACGGCAGCCTCGGGGGAATCATAATCGACATCTCTGAATAAATGCTGCGGTTTCCACTTACCGGCAAAAAAGCAAACTTAATACGTCTCTTTTATGCCAATAAATCAATTTGAAATTCACAAAACTTAGAAACCAGCTGATCAACATGTCTTAATCGATTTAAAGTTAGTCATCAATTTTGGACTATATTTAGGCATTTTCACACCGGCTGCATGAATGTAAAAAAACAGAAACCTTCGGTGTGTATGCGTGCAAAAAACAAGCAAAACCCATGAACGTAAAAAAGCGTT